TCTATTCTATTCTATTCTATTCTATTCTATTCTATTCTATTCTATTCCGCATGATGGAAAGGGAAGAACCACTGTAGTTAGTGGGGTTTATTTTTTATTCATTTGGCTCTTTTAGGGGGACCCACCACTCATCTCCCAAATAAGTACATACAGAGGCTTATTCTTTCTTATAAATGCCTGGCCTTAGATTGGCTTCTTTATAGCCAGCTTTGCTTAACTTAAATTATCCCATCTACCTTTTGCCTCTGGACTTTTATATTTCTCTATTTCTGTGTATCTTTTCTTTCACTCTTACTCTATTGCTTGCTGTGTAGCTCTGTGGCCGGCCCCTGGTATTCTCCTCCTTTTCTTGCTCCTCAATCTTCTCTTCCCAGATTTCTCCTCCTACTTATTCTCTCTGCCTGCCAGCCCCAACTATCCTTGCCTTGCATTTAGCTCTTTATTGGACGAATCAGGTGTTTTAGACAGGCAAAGTAACACAACGTCACAGAGTTAAACAAATGCAACATAAAAGAATGCAACACATCTTTGCATCATTAAACAAATGTTCCACAGCATAAACAAATGTGCCAATTCCAAACTAATGTTTCTCAACAAATCGGCTCCCCCAAATTGTCCTTTGACATCCACACTTGCACCTTGGAACGCTCCCATCACATGATCACACACTAAATCAATCAATCAATAAATAAATAAAATATAATAAAAATTTAAAGCATGCATTACATAAGTGAGGAAATGGATTGTTTATATAAAATCATAAGATAGGTGGTTAGAATATTTATCAAAAAAGTAACAAGTATTAGTGAAAATCTAGAGAAACCATAATCTTTGGATATTGCTGTTGATAATAAAAATGGTTCAGATTCTGTAGAAAAGTCCCCAAAGAGATGAAAATAAGGACTCAGATACTTTTATACCAGCATTCATAACAGCACCATTCACAAGAGGTAAACAACCTCATCATGTGGATGGGGGCAAAATGTTCTGTGTCCACACAAAAGAATGTTGTTCAGCTCTATATAAAAATGAAGGTATGAGTTCAATATGTAGTTCAATGGTAAAGTGCTTGCTTAGCATGTACAAGGGCCTGGGTTTAACTACCAGTACTCCAAAACAATTAAATATATTCTGTAGCATGAATGAATCTTGAAAACATTATGCTAAGTAGAAAAGGCCAGTACAAATATTATATATTATTTGGTTTATATGCAGTACCTAGAATAGTCAAAATTCATAGAGCCATAAAATAGAATGAAATTTACAGGATGGGGCTAGGGTGGTTGTGGTCATTGTTTAAAAGGATACATAGTTTTTACTAGGCATGAAAAGACAGTCCTAGAAACAGAAACAATTGTCTAACATTGTGAATGTCCTTAATACCATTAACTGTATTCTTAAAAATGGTTGAAATGGAGCAAGGGTACAGTTCGGTGGCAGAGTGCTTGCCTAGTATGTGTGAGGCCCTGTAGTACCAGCTGAGATACCAGGGAAGCTGAGGCAAGTAGGTCACCCAAGCTAGGGAGTTCAAGACCAGCCTAGGCAGCACAGTGAGGCCTGGTTTCAAAACAACAAAATTCTACAAACCTCTGATTCCTTTGCCTGCTTTTGGGACCCTTTTTCTTCTACTGGATTGCCTCATTCAGCCTTGATATGAGGGTGTGTGCCTAGTCTTATTGTAACTTGCTATGTCATGCTTGGTTGATATCCCTAGCAGGCCTGCTCTTTTCTGAAGGGAAATGGAGGAGGAGGAGTAGATCTGGGGAGGAGGGAAGGTTGGGGAGAAGGTCCAGGAGGAGCAGAGGGAGGGGAAACTGTAATGTAATTTATGAGAGAAAAATAAATATAAAAAACTAATCCTACAAAGAAATCTTGGACAGAAGATAATACTAGTAATGTAAATTTGAAGTAAATATTGTAGAAATGATGAAATATTATAAATAGGAATTTGTATTTACTATCACTACTGGGCTTTTATTAATTACGCTTAAGAATTTCTAAAACTACCATTTCCTTTTTATCACATCCTTTAGCATTTTTTCTTTTTGTGGTGGGGCAGGGACATATTGAGACAAAGTCTCCTGTAGGTCAGGCTGGTCTTGAACTCCTGATCTTCTTGCCTCCAGCTTCTGAGCATTGGGATTCCAGGCATACACCACCATGGTCACTGTAATTTTGTATTTTTATTTTGGTTACGGTCAATGATTCATACAGTGTGCTAGTACAGTGGCACATACTTGAAATGTATAAATAAACATGGTTCTCTATGTACTTTGTAGGCACATATACTCACAACTTTTATTGATGTTGTGTGTGATTTAAAAAACTAAAGGGTCCAGGTATATATCTCTATGGTAGAGTGTATGTTTAGCATTCACAAAACCCTGGGTTCAAACCAAACGGCAAATAAATAAATAAGTAAATAAGTAAATAAATTTAAAGATAACGGTCTGCAATGCTAAACGTCTTGTGTAGCTTAAGGTGGCCCTGAACTCAGCACGTAGCTGATGATGACCTCGAATTCCTTATCTACATTCTTCCCTCTTCTAAGCCCTGAGATTCCTGGCTTGTGGTGCCCCATCTGGCAGCTCACCTGTTTTGTTTTAGGAAAACACTCTTGAATTAAAATTTTAATTACATGCGACTATTGTATGAATTATAGAAACAGCAATTCTGATAATAATAATGATAATGATAATATAGGGGCAGGTAAGGTGGTTCAGTAGGCAGTGATGTTTGCCTCCGAGCCCAATGACGAACCTTTTTGTTTGCGAGGACCTACATAGTGGAAGGAGAGAGCTAGGTTCTACATGATGTCGTCTGACAGCCACACACATGTCACGGCACATTCATATATACATCCAGAAATAATTAAATAAATCCAATAAAAAATAATTCAATTTCTAATGAGCAGCTGTTAATTTTTAAAATCCTCTTACTTGTTTGATTTGGAAAATTCGGTTGGCAGACATACGAGTGCGGGAAGGCAGAAACTGAAAATTAAAATATAACAGTCAAGCTTGCTTTAATGTTTCCGATTAATAATTCAAAATATGAAGTTAATGTTAATAAATACTTATTGAGTGCCTAATGTACAGTAGCAAGGGCATTTGTTAACTTCAAAGCTTAAAAACATGAAAATTGGATCTTGACTAAAGCATTGTGCTATTCAGAAGTCTATATATGTCAAAATGAAACAGTTGCTAACAGAAGAAACATGAGACAAAACAGCAATAAAATTTTTGTTTCCTTTGAAATGAATCTGTTTTTTAGTTGGCCCTCATGCTCCTCATATAGCTGAGGCCCTCCACTTCTGAGTGCTGGGATTTCAGGGTACGCAACTCCACCCAGCACCACGGCCAGCTTTTCTTTCCTGACACACTAGGTATCAATGTCATCTCAGTTTTCTTGCTGGTTTTAACCAAGCACTAAAGCTGAGGAAGGGGTGTTACCAGAACAAAAATGCTCACACAGTTATTAAACCAGCAGCTAAGCTGCCACGCATTCAAAGGAAACATGAACAGAATAATTTCATCAAATATCCTAGAATCTTGCTGGCAAAGAGAAATTTTCATAGCATGGGTTGGCTTAAGAGCAAACACTTTCAAGTAGTTTCCAAAATTGTAGCCTTCGTTGCTAAGGTACTTGTTGCCTAGGTCCTTTCTCTTTTTCAGAACTGCTCTCTCCTTTTTTTTTCTTTTTTGTCTTGTCTCAAAGCTTAGGAAAACCCATGCAAGAGGAGAATGAAAGAATGAGGGGATTTAAGGCAAAGTACAGATACAAAACTTAAATTACCCTCAGAATGTATCTGTTCTATCTGTAGCCTGCTTGTTTCCTGAAATGCTTGGTAGTGAATGTATCTTTAACTAAGTCACAGTCTATTTTGGGTGGTTTTTTTTTTTTTCAGTGCTTGGGAATCAAACTTAAGGTCTTGGGTAAGATAGGCATGTGGTCCACCACTGGGCTATCTACTCAGCCCCATTATATATTAAGATCACAGTGAGTGGAGCATTTCGGAAATGTCTCACGAGTACCTACTGTGTGCTACGGCACTTTGCTAGGACCCAAGGATCCAGAGGCACACCTAGTTAGGAAAGACCCCAAGCACTAGCCAGAGCAGAGCTCTGCCTGTGAGAGTCCAAAGAGGATTCCCACCTGATGTCTCAACAGGCCTCGCAGAGTAGATAGGAATGTTTGTTTTTAAAATTATTTATTTTATTATTGTAGGTGTACGAGTGTTCGGCCTGCATGTATATAAGTGGCCAACAGATGTAAGCCTGGTGCCCTTGAAGGTCAGAAGAGAGCTTTGGCTGTGCTGGCACTGGGGTTACAGATGGCTGTGAGCCTCCATATGGGTATTAGGAAATGAATCCAAGTCCTCTTCAAGAAAAACAAGTGCTCTTAACCACTGAGCCAACTCAACAGTCTGAGGTAGGAATTATTATTATTATTATTATTATTATTATTAATTTGACATACCAATCACAGTTCACCCTCCCTTCCCCGTTCCCTCTCCTCCCCACTTCCCCCCAACCTGTCCTTATCCATTCCTCAGAAAGAGAGTGGGGAGTCAACAAAGCCTGGCACTTTCAGCTGAGGCAGGACCAAGCCCCGCCTCCCCCATCAAGGCCAAGTAAGGCATCCCACCATAGGGAATGGGCTTCAAAAAGCCATCTCATGCACTAGGGATAGATCCTGGTCCCACTGCCAGGAGTCACACAGATTGGGGACTGCCCCAACTGTCATCATAGAACCTTCATCATAGAGCCTTCATTCAGTAACTGATGGAAGCAGATATAGAGATCCACAACCAAGCAGCAGGCCCAGGTACGGGAGTCCAATCAAAGAGAGGGAAGAGAAATAATATGAGCATGGGTGCTCAAGATCAAGACAGGGGAACCCAGAGACAGCTGACCCGAGCTAGCGGGAGCTCAGGGATTCCAGACTGGGGATCCTGCATGGAACCGAACTACGCCCTCTGCATGCAGGCTGTAGTTTTATAGCCTGGTCTGTTTGTGGGAGCCCTGGCAGTGGGACCAGGTTCTATCCCTAGTGCATAAGATAGGAATTCTTTTCTTTTTCTTTTCTTCTTCTTCTTCTTTTTTTTTTCGAGCTTTGGAGCCTGTCTTGGAACTAGCTCTTGTAGACCAGGCTAGTCTCGAACTCACAGAGATCCATCTGCCTCTGCCTCTGCCTCCGGAGTGCTGGGATTAAAGGCGTGCACCACCACTGCCCGGCTGAGGTAGGAATTCTGAATGTGTACAGAAGGTATTCCGATGAATAGGAAAAACAACTCAGGTACAGAGGCATGTTCCAGGCACAAAGAAGCTCAAGGTGTTGAAAACTTACTGGGAAGAAGTAGCAGGAAATAAAATTGGTAAGAAGTGACTGAAACTGGAATTTACACTTTGATCTCAATAGAAAGCAAAGGATAGGTTTCTCTACATTCTTAAATCTTAAAGGTCTTTTAAACAAGCAAGTTATGTCTGCTTCAAAAGGTTAAAAAAAAGTGGCATCAATATGTGGGAAAATTCAGTAGCAACAATTAATAAATGGGACCTCCGGAAGCTGAAAAGCTTCTGTAAAGCAAAGGACACAGTCAACAAGACAAAACAGCAACCTACAGAATGGGAAAAGATCTTCACCAAGCCCATATTAGACAGAGGTCTGATCTCCAAAACATACAAAGAACTCAAGTAACTTGATATCAAAACAACAAATAATCCAATAAAAAATGGGGTGCAGACCTAAACAGAGAACTTTCAACCGAGGAATCTAAAATGACTGAAAGACACTTAAGGAAATGCTCAGCATCCTTAGCCATCAGAGAAATGCAAATCAGAACAACTCTGAGAGTCCATCTTACACCTGTAAGAATGGCCAGGATCAAAAACAATGATGACAACTTGTGCTGGAGAGGATGTGAGGGAAAGGGAACACTTCTGCATTTCTGTTGGGAGTGCAAACCGGTACAACCACTTTGGAAATAAGTATGGTGATTTTTCTGAAAATTAAGAAACAATCTACCTCAAGACCCAGCAATACCACTTTTAGGTATATATACCTAAAGGATGCTCAATTATGCCACAAGGACATGTGCTCGGCTATATTCACAGCAGCATTATTCATAATAGCCAGAACCTGAAAATAGCCTAGATGCCCCTCAACTAAATAATGGATAAAGAAAATGTGGTACATTTACACAATGGAGTACTACTCAGCGGTAAAAACATAATGACATCTTGACATTTGCAGGTAAATATATAGATAAAAATAATAGAAAAAACATCTTGAGTGAGGTAACCCAGACCCAGAAAGACAAACATAATGCATACTCCCTCATAAGTGGCTTTTAGAGATAAAGCAACAAAATATCAGCCTGCATTCCATAACCCCAGAGAATCTAGACAACAAAGAGGACCCTAAGAGAGACACACATGCATCTACATAGGAAGGAGAAAAAGACAAGATCTCCTGAGTAAATTGGGAATGTGGAGAGGGAAGGAGGGGAGAAGCAAGGAAGGGAGGGAAGCAGAGAAAATTGTATAATGTAATAAAAAATTAAAAATATTGGGGAAAATTTCAAGTGAAGGAAGGGGGATTAGAAGTAGGGTCTAAAAAGATTGTCATATGATATAATATAATATAATATAAAATAATATAATATAATATAAATATTGGGTGTGATGGTTCACACCTATAATTTCAGAACTCAGAGGCTGAAGCAGAAGTATGGGAGTGCCAAGCTAGCCTATAACACATAGTAAGACTCTGTTTGAAATGAATCTTGCCCCTACTGTACTATATTTATTATTTTGGAGTGAAGAAAATAAAGTCTTACTTAGTGCAAATATGTGCTTCAAATAAAAACATTTAGAGAGAGGTTAGAGAGAGGGCTTAGCAGCTATGAGTGTATATTACTCTTGCAGAGGTATTGAGTTCAATTTCCAACACCCAGGATGGATGGCTCACAACTGCCTGCAACTCCAGATTCAGGGTATTCAACACTTTTCTGGACTCCCTGGGTATTTACACACACACACACACACACACAATTAAAAACCAAAGTAAAAGTTAAAATACACACACAAAAATCATTCAGACAGTGGTACTGGAGAGATGGCTTGTACCTTAAGAGCACTGGCTGCTCTTCCAAAGGACCTGGGTTCAATTCCCAGCACCCACATGGCAGCTCACAACTGTCTATAACTCCTGTTCCAGGGGATCTGACACCCCTCACACAGACATGCAGGCAGGCAAAACACCAATGCACATAAAATAAAAATAAAAAACCTTTTAAACCAAAATAAGAACAACCAAAAGAGACAAGGAGTGAATGTCCAATGGACAGAAAGTATAATGGGAACAAAATTCAAGTGTGAGTGGATCCTTGTAGGCGTAGGGGACAGAGAGGAAAAGCTTAAGGTAGCACCTGATTTGAGTTGGGCCTTGTAAAAGTGAGGAGTTTGGCAGCATGTCCCATAGAAAAGTGAAAATGTTTGTAATATTTCAGGCAAAGTATATTAGCCTGATGTGCAGCCAGTAAGGGAGAGGAAGAAGGAAAGGCTCTGTTGCCAAAAGCGTTGAAAATGATGGAGAGTTTTATAAGCTATTCTCAAATTCTTAATTACAGAAAAGTAATCTACTCCAGAGGAGCAAGCAGCAGGTTATACCTAGCATCACTATTTATTAGATTTGGAATGGGCATAAGAAGATATTCAGCTCTAAGCATGGTTTAATTCCTAGCCAGAGGATGAATGTAGACAAGGAGGCATGTGACAGCTGTTAGCTAGTAACTCAAACCAGCCTTTTCTAGTCATGTTCTTGGCCTGATGTTTCAACAGGAGAGAGGGAAGAGGGGAGGGGAGGGGAGGGGAGGGGAGGGGAGGGGAGAAGCGAAGCAGAGATGGAGAGGCAGAGATACAACACAGAGAGATTTTTGGAGACAGAGTCTCCCGATGTAATCCTAGTTAGTCTGGAACTTACTAAAGAG